AGTGCTGGGATCACAGGCATGCGCCACTATGCCCGCCCATCCTCTCCTTTCTTCACTTCACCTATCTTTGATGATCCTGCTAGGAACAAGACTGATAAGACCGCTGCCCTCTTAGAACCGATTAGACGCATAACGGACAGTCAATAGCGGACCGTCGCAGGCAGTGGTAGACGCTGTTTTGGAAACACAGCAGCGACAGAGTGGGCTGGGCCTGCGCTGGGCCCGGTGTCCTCTAAAAGCACGGGGCAGGCCGATGCAGGTGGGAGGCACGGGGCCAGGGCCTGCGGGGAGGCGAGGTCGTGCGTGACGCGGACCGACCGTGCCCGGGGCCTCTGTACGGTCAACTCTTACCGCCAGCCGCCCTCGCAGAGCCGGGCCGGCCCGGGCGGAGACGCGCGTGACGGAGCACATGCTGGCCGGGCGCGTGCTCGGGGCACAGGTGCAGGCGCGGCCCGGCCCTCTCTCGGGGCTCGCCCGGACCTCTCTCGGGGCTCCTCCGGCCGTCCCACAGCCGGCGGGAGGAGCCCTGAGGGGTAGCCGAGCCGCACCTCGGCCTCCCCTTCAGGACCGGGCTCCCGAGGTGCTTGTAAGAAACAGGCAAAAACCACTGGAATAAAAAGATGGGAAAGCGCTCTGCAAATCTGGACACAACCTGAGGGGTTTATTCACCTTCTCCAGCTCCTCTCCCGGCCTTTGGAAGCCCAGGGGGTCGGACTAAGCGCACTGCGGCCCAACCTCCCCTCCCCGCTTCCCCCTCGCGGAGTTCGCGTCCCCGGGGTCTGGAGCTCCCCCGATCCGCACTGCATCTCCCGTCCCTGGAGCCTGGAAACAGCGGAAAAACCCTCGCCGGGCGCGGTTGCCCGGTCGCATCACATGACTCTGGCCCAGCGCCCCTTGCCGGGCAGAAAGTAATACGCATGCGCTTAACCTCTAATCCCCGGCCCCCCCCGCCCACACCCCTGCTTGGCTGGCTCCTCCGCGACCGCTGTCAACTCCTCCCTCTCCTTTCTGTCTTCATCCTTCCTGACATTTACTCCCTTCCCCCGCCCCTTGGTGATGTCAGGCAGACAGCCTTCCCAGCCAATCAGCATGCTGTGTTCAAGGGTCGGCACGCGGAACCGGTCGGATCGAACCAATGGGTGCCCTCAGAGCGAGGGGCGCCCCAACCGCCCCGAGGAGCCGCGGCCGAGGGGCGGTGCTTCCCAGTCAGCATGTGGGCGGGGGAAGGGGGGGCCAGCAGCCGCAGAGGCGTAGACGGCGGCGGCGGCGGCGACGTCGCTCAGTCTTCGGGGTGGGCTCGGCGGCTCAGGCCGGGTGGTGCGGAGGGCACGGCGGGCTACAGCTGCCCCGGGGAGGCCACAGCGCCATGGGCGGGCGGTAGCAGAGCTCCCGAGGCCGAGGCGAGGGACGGCAGCGCTCAGTCCGGCTCGGCGACCGCCGGCGGGGCCCGGGGGAGGGTAGGCCCGGGGCGGGGGTCTTCCGGGGCTGCGTGGGGCCTTGGGGCGGGGTCGTAGGAGTCCCAGGCCGCCGCGAGGCGCTGCTGCCGGCCGCCGCCGGGTTCCTCCTCTGGGCCGCTCGAGGACGACGCTCCCGCGGAGGCCTCGCCTGAGGAGGCCGCGGCGGCGGCGAGGCCGCGGGAGGCCGCGGGGGATGGAGGAGCGGAAGGAGGAGGGCGAGGCGGAGATCCAGGAGCACGGGCCAGAGCACTGGTTCTCCAAGTGGGAGCGGCAGTGCCTGGCCGAGGCCGAGCAGGACGAGCAGCTGCCCCCCGAGCTGCAGGAGGAGGCAGCGGCCGCCGCGCAGCCCGAGCACAAGCAGCAGAAGCTGTGGCACCTCTTCCAGAACTCGGCCACCGCCGTGGCTCAGCTCTACAAAGGTGAGGCCGCGCCGCCATCTTGCCGCCGCCCGGCCCGGCCCGGCCCGACCCGACCCTACCCTACCCTGTCCCGACCGTACCCTGTCCCGTCCCTACCCTGTCCCGTCCCTACCCTGTCCCGTCCCCGTCCGGCCCGTTCCTGCCGCAGCCTCCCCTCGCCCTACTGGAGCGCGTGCTGGGGGCGGCGGCCTCCGGGTCTGGTGGTCGAGCTGCTGCACCCTCCTTGCCCGGAGGCGCCGCTGGGGAGATCCGGGTAGGGGCCCCCTGGGGAGGGGAACCCCCGACGGCGCAGCCAGGGAGGAGGGGGGTGTCTTGGATCCCCGGGCAGGGCTACGAGGACCGGGGAGGAGCCCCCGCCACAAAATGGCGAAGAAGGCGGCCGGCCGGCCGCACTGTGCCCCGACCTGGCCTCGGGGCGGGGACTGCGAGGGGCGCCTCCCGGTGCCGGCCAGGCCCTCTGCGCCCCCAGCCCCGCGCTGCCTTCCGCCCCGCCGCGACCCCTTGATCCTGGCCCCCCGCTCACTTTGGGATCCCGAAACCCTTGAACAAAATGGCGAAACCTAATATGGCCGTTCCGGAGTGATTGACGCCCAAATAACATTCTCTCTCCCTGTCTCTGTCTGTCTCTCTCTCTCTGTGTCCTTGTGCGTGCGTTTGTGTCCATTCTGTCCCCCCGCCCCCTCTTTTTTTTGATGTTTGTTTTCAGACCGAGTGTGTCAGCAGCCAGGACTTTCTCTCTGGGTTCCCTTCCAGAACGCAGCCACCGCTGTCACCAACCTCTACAAAGGTAAAGATAACCTTGGTGTATTGCTGGTGAAGGGGAGGGGCAGGGTGTGTGTCCTGCGTTCTGACCGTGTTTTCTGCTCCCCAGTGTAGCCGCTAACCTTGAATGCTTTGCAGCCTGAGAATCTCAGTGATGTTCTAGCTAGATCAACTGGAGGCGATTTTGATACCCGCAGCTCCTTCCTCTTCCTAAGGAAACACATGGCAATGTCTAGGGACATTTTTGATTGTCTTGATTAAGAGGGGGGCTGCTATTGGCATCTAGTGGGTGGAAGCTGCTCCTTATCCTTCAGTACCCAAGACAGCCCCTCCCCACTCAGCCAGGATTTACCCAGCTCCAAAGTGTTAAGTACCCGTGTTAAGAGGCTACGTAGGAACTGGAACTGGAAGATGGGTGAGACCTGCTTCTCTTGGAAAAGACAGCAAGAGAAAAAGTTTGTTTTTGTACCACAGAAGTGGAACAATCTCAGGGAAGATTTTTGGGTCTAGCCGCTTAGAGCATGGTGTGCATATTAACATCTGCACTCCTTTAACGATTTCATCATTTTCCTCCTTACTCCCTTGTAACTGGTTGTAAGTTGTTGCTAGGAAATCTTTAGTTTTGAATTGATGTATATGTGTTTCCTCCCGGTGCCTTCTGGGGTTTATTTTTCCTCCTCTGTGATGATGAGAGATGTGTTTAATTGTTCTTTGCCCATTGAGCTGTCTTGCCAACATAGGTTGAGATTTTGTGCCATGCAGATAGGGAAGATTTGGAAATCTGGGTTTGATTTTTGGCAGGGTTTATATGAAAAAAAGATTTGGACCTGACTGTTAATCTTAATAAAACATGTAATTAAATGTTTTAAGAAACTTAGGAGCTGTTAACAGTAATGGAATTTTGTGTGAATCACAAATATCAAAATAGGTTGAAATGAACTTTGCAATCTCTCCTTGATCTTAGACCCCTATTTTTGGTTAAGAATATGCAAATGGCCGGGCTGGGTAACACAGGCCTGTAATCCCAGCACTCAGACTCAGGCTGAGGCAGGAGGAGCCCTGAGTTTGAGACCAGCCTGGGCTACATAATTGAGTTCAAGGCCAGCCTGCACTACAAAGCAAGACCTTGTCTCAAAAAACCAAAACCAAACAAACAAGTATGTGCAAAAAAGTGGCAGCATTCTGTAAGACATATCCCTTATGAGATTTCTTGAATAAACTGTACTTTTGGGGGGAGGGTTTTTTTTTGGCGGGAGGACATAGGGTCTCACTGTGTTGGTCAGGCTGGCCTCGAATTCATGGCAACCCCCCCGCCCCCATGCCTGGCTGGGGGGAGTAATTTTGAGAACTGTTAAATTGGTGTGAATAAGAATGCTAATTTAGGGAATGAAGAACTAATAGTTCCTCCTTATTGAGAAAAGGGAAACAGATTAAATGGTGCCTCAGTGGTCAGCTTTGATTTTTCTATGTGGCTGAGTTTATTATATATTATAAATGACTTTTTTATGTCATAGATGTTTTTGGGGTTTTTAGCATTCTCTTTGAAGTGGTTTTAGGGAAATAATACTTGAGAAACTCAATTTTTTACAGACTCAAGTTTCTTGGAGTATATATACATTAAAAAAATCACTTTTTTGGGCCGGGGATTTAGTTCAGTGGTTCTGGTGCCTGTCTCGAAAGCACAAGGTCCCGAGTTCGATCCCTGGTACCAAAAAAACACGAAAAAAAACACACACACAAAAATCACTTTTTTTTTGGTTTTGTTTATTGTTTTTGGTACCTGGGAGTGAACAAAACAAAAAAATCACCTTTAAGATGTATAGTTTTTTAAAAAAGTGTAGTTTGATTTTGGCATATACTTTTAAAAGAATGTTATCTGTCTCCCCACTTTGTTCCTGTCAACCACTGATCTGACTGCAGTGTACTGTATGTAGGTTTCCATTAAGAGTTTGTGGTCTGTATCCTTTTGTGTTTGGCTTCTTCCCCTTAGCATGATGTTTTTGAGGTAGATTCATGGAGTTCACACTGCAGGTATTAGTGCATTTTAATGCTTTGTAGTCTGTTGTATGGAGGTACAAGTATAAGGTTTATCCTTTTGCCATTGTTGCAGTTGTTTGAAGAGGAAAGCAATATATTTTTAGTGTTTTTTATGTGCCAAGATTCTTTAGCCATGTACAGTACACATATAAATGTCTTTTAGTTTTGGTGCTGTTGTGTATTAAGTAGATTATATCCCTCTAGGATTTAGCAGTTTTTTAGTAATCCTAACTCTTTAAAAGAAGGTAGGTTTAGAAGCTGAATTCTGAAATAATCCTTAATTTGACTATTTCATTTGAGATGTGTGTACTAGTTTTCTTTGTTCAGAAAATTTAATCAGGGACATTTAAGTGTTACATGTAGTTCTTGGATTGTATAGTCTGGTCTAGTTTTTGTGTTTGTGTTTTTTTAGCAGGAAACATCCCTTCTTAGCTAATAGGAATGGATAAATTGTGTTCTGTGGAATTTGGTAGTGTTGGGAGAGCTTATTTCTATTCCTATCTTTTTTTTTTTTTTTTTTGAGACAAGGTCTCACTAGGTAGTTCAGGATGGCCTTGAACTCACTATGTAATCCAGGGCCTCCCAAGTGGGATTACAGGCATGCAGCATGGCCGGCCTCAGTTCCTATTTGTTGTGAGGAAACTAAATAGTATTCTGCAAATCCTTATACCCTTCCTCCTTTTCAGGGTGTGGTCTTTAGAGAACAGAAGTACAACTGTAGGAATAATAGGTTGTCTTAAATAGAGCCAATGAAATTAGCAAGTGCATGTGGCATTAAGTAGTGCTAAGTTTTTCAAAGTTCTGATGAAATATTTAAGTGTAATTTACAGAGGGGAAGATTTTGGAGGATCCTTTAAGAGGGAAACACATCTGTATTTTGTATATGTGAGTACTTAATCTGGAAAGCTAAAAATGACAAATTTTGCAGTCTGGGGATTGTTTAGCACCCATATCAGCCTTTTGATAATTCCTGAAATCAGCACATCGGAAGGTCAGAATTGAGGTAAAAACCTAGCAGAGGGCTCCTTTAAATTGCCAGTGGATTTTTGGAGAGTAGAATGGTGATTGACTCAGTTAGAAATGTGACTGGAAAGAGTTACAAAAGAATATAAGTTGACGTTGTTTTCTCAGTGGGAACAGGATTCAGAAAAATGGAGTGCATGGTCCTCCTGTTTAGATAATACGGGTCAAACTTTGGCTTCCTTTTTTGGAAGGGAGAAAAATCCTCGATGCTAGTCATGGATTTGATTAATACGAAGAGGATGGTATTTCTTTGCATTGTTGGGTCCCTGCCTGAGTGTGTGTGGTTTTTTTGTTTTTTAGTACTGGGCATTGAACTCAGGTCCTTGTGAGTGTGTTTTTTGATGCCTCTAACCAAAGAAGTGAGTGAAAAGTTACTGAGGTGGTTTTAATCTTAGTCAGGGTTGATGCTTACCTGGGAAATACTTGGCCAAGTCTGCACCTTTCCCTCGCCCGCTGGATCTCTTGCATGGTTGGCATGTGCTTTTTAAATTTTTTTCTGGTACCCTGGATTGAACTCAGGACCTTGTGCTTGCCAGGCAGGCGAGGAGCTACTGAGCTAAATCCCTGGCTAGGCATGTGCTTTCTACCATTGAGCAGCACCTTTAGCGCCAGATTGGTTTTATAAATTCACCTGTCATCTCTGTTTTTCTTTTTGGTACTGGGGATCGAACTCGGGACCTTGTGCGTGTGAGGCAGGTGCTGGAACCACTGAGCTAAATCCCCGGCCCACCTGTCATCTCTCTTTTTTTTTTCTCTCATCTCTTGGTGACTGGTTTCCATCATGGTCTCTTGATTTCTCCTAGGAAAGCATTGTGTACTTTGAATGCTCCTGAGAGTTGGGACTGGTGGTTGTCCTCCAGGGCAAAGATAACCTAGGTAGCCTCACAGGGCAGCCTGAAATGGGAGCTGGTGCCCTCATGGAGCCAGTGCTTGACCATCTCCCTCACCCCCCCACCTTTGGTATGGGATTGAACCCTGGGCCTTCACATTGATCTGCATCCCCAGCCCTTGTTTTATTTTTTATTTTGAGACAGAGTCTTGCCAAGTTGCCCAGGCTGGGCTCAAACTTGTGATCCATTTGCCTCTTAGCATGTGCACTACACTAGCTTCATTTCTTTTCTTTGTGGTTTTTTGAGACAGGGTCGCTGTGCAGACTGGCCTTGAACCCACTACGTAGCTGGGATTATAGCCCCCCCCCCCTTCATTGCTTCTCAATGGCTCTTTCTCAGCTTTTTAATGTTTTTCTTCTTTGATTCTTGTTTTTTTTTGCTTTACGTTTTAGCAGTGCAGTTGAACCATTGGTTGAATGGAGCCGAGAGCTTTCCCTTAATACTGCACACACTAAAAGATATTTCTCAGATTCTTCTAGAAGGGTGATGGCAAACCTTTTAGAGCTTTCAGTGATAAAAAAGCCGACTATGCATGCTGTAGGCTCACCACCCCTGCCCTAGAACATCATTTGCCTCCAGGTGTCTGCTCTAGTAGTACTTGCACAGGCCTAGTTTCATTGTAGTCAAGGGTCTTGGAATCTATTGCCAGATCATCCGGTTTCAGACCTTGATGCTGTTACTGGTTACCTGTGTGGCTCTACAGGCGTATTGGAGCCAGGTGCCAGGTGTTTTACCATTGTGCTTCTTGGTTTTCTTAAGTGAGTTAATATCCACTAACTTCAGTGCAAGCTTTTAGTTTTATGCCTAGCATATAGTGAGTTCCCAAGTGTTGATTGTGTTGATGGTCAAGTTTTAACTATTTTTTGCATGTTTTTTACTATAGGCGGTGCTTACTATGGAGGGAATAATTCTAGTTTAGTTTTTGTTTTTAAATTTTTTTGTGTTAAGTAAGCACTATGATATGTACTTTTCTTCCTTACCTTCCTAAAAGGGGGCAAACATAAATACAATTGACAGGTGAGAAAAATAGTGTGATGTCACATTTGCTTCTTGCTATGTTGTTTCACTTTAGTGT